ACCGTATTTTCCAATGAGAAAACTACTCGTTCATATTCGAGTAAATACGGTAATCGATGATCAATGACTTGAAAACACGGTTGGCTAAATATTCCCCGCACCAAAAGAACGAACACACTTAAAAATAAACTTACTAAAAGGGAAAAAAAATATTTTTTTTGAAATAAATTAATTTAATGAAATATTGTTACTGGTAATGATATTAAATCTTTCAGCAACGGGAGAGGCGGGAATGTTTGACTGTTCAAATGATGAAAATCACTAGTATTTATATAAATAAATTAAAAAAACAACTGGTGATGCAACAGAATAGCACAGACCTCCCCATATTAGTCTTCTATTATATTACCTTTGGTCTGAGCTAGCTATTCGGACTTGTCACATATTCTTGCCAGTTGCCATTTATCGCCGCCCAATGTATATTTTTTGAAATTTTCTTAATTTTTCGGTTTTCTAATTGTACCAAGAAAATATCATTTTAAAAATATTAAAGAACAGTAAACCCTAGTTCTTAATGGCTATTTTCTTAGAAACATTTGAAGCTTTTTTTAAGAAAATGGTGTTTAAGCACTGCTGTAAATTCAAAATTTGAACCTCCTTTCACAAAACACTATTGTGTTTTAGAAAAAAATAATAAGTCATTTGAAGCACTTTAAATCACAAATACAATAATGTTTACACATTGCTGGAAATGTGTATATTAATGGTGTGAGTGATCTTTCAAAAATATAACATTTGTAATTTTTTTAGGAAAAAAAAAGAAATAAAAAAAATGAACATTACGTCGTATTTTAGAGTGCAATTAGCTCTATCCATTGGAAAAATTTGAAGAAAAGACTTGGAGCTGTTTTTGAGCAAATGGCGTTTGAGTGTTTCTGAAAATGCGGTATTTTGAGCTATTTTTTACAGCGAACTGTTGCGTTTTCAGGAAACATTGTTTGACATTATTTAAAGCACATGTTCTTATAAATACAGTAACGTAAACAAATTGCCTCTAATGTAAATATTAACGTGAGAGACAAGTAAAAAAATTACATTTTTGTATTTTTTGAAAAAACAAAATAGAGCAATATAGGGTTTATGTCATCTTATAGAGTACTTTTAGTACTACTCCTACCAAAACTTTAAAGAAAAAGTTTGGAGTCATTTTGGAAAACATTTTGAAAATGCGCCAGGGGCTTCATGTAAAGTACCCTCAAATTTTAAAGAATGTTTTTCAATAGCTCTAAGCTTCAACTTGAGTCAGATGATCAGGGGTTTCTTCAATTTGGAGAACATCATACATATGATTTAGGCCCTAGTAGTGTTCGCAGAGAGATATTTTGAAGAAGAAGAAGAAAGAAAAAAGAAGGGAAGAAAAGAAGAAGAAGAAAAAAATAAAAGAAAGAAAACAAGCAAACAAACAAAAAACAACCTTTTTCGGAATCAGGGGATGCAAAACACGAGACTAATAATATTTCCCAAGAAAACCTCGTACCCACACTGGGTGTTTGAGGTATTAGCAAAACAAATTGGATGGAAGATTTCCTGCAAAGCAAATCACTCCCTTGGTGAGGATGCCAGCCCAGAATTATATTGACACTAAACGTAACACAAAATATGGACATCTGTGATAACATCAGTCAAGCCTGGTTATTGCTCATCACAAGGGAACTTTAACACCCCCTGCAGATTTCTCATTTGTTTCTCAGCGGAAATCTTATTGAAATATGTGTACTGTCACAGTCCAGAAAGGTGCCTTCAGGTTTCATGATGGTTTGGAACGCATGATTCTTTAGGTTACCATAAGGGAGAATGCCTTGTAACTTCCTGAAAACTGTGCTGCTGTCTCCATTTTTTATAAACCTGAAATATGAAAATTGCTGTTATATTGAAAGTAAGAGTATAGTAACAATACAACTGTTACTAAAGGGCTGACATATTTTTCTTTAATTTATGATAATTTAATATTTTGAAGTGCAAATACTCTTATTTGTACAAAGTGTGTAAAATGTATTTTATTGATTGATTGTTTTAGCGATTCTAGGCACATCAACTACCGAGCTCATTAGTCCCATAAGTGTAATACATGTTTATTTTGCTCGGGAGGTGGCGTTGGTCTTTCCCCTGCTGTATGGCGAGATCTGGCACCAACCCACTGTCAACTCGCAGGGTTTTCCCCAACTAGGCATCTCCCACAAGCTAGGCTCTGCCCCAGCCGGGACAAAGCTCTTAGCTCCCAGCATGTGGTAGTGTAGTTCATATTAGGTGAGGATACGACAAGGAAGAGGAAGGTGAGATCGCGTACGCTCCATGGCTCATTTGTTACGGTACTGCCCCAGCATTCACCTGGTGTTGATAGAAGAAACCTCGAAAAACTACTGATTAGAGTAGCTGGTCACTAGAATTCTCCTCCAGACAGAGACTGAACTCGATCCAGCTAATAAGCTAGTGTTGAAAATTCTGCCACTATCAGGACTTGAATCTAGGACCTCCCAGTGAGAAGGACTGCAGTGACATCAGTTGATGCCCTGAGCCATTTCTCGAGGTATGTATTTTGTGAATGAATTATTTCAACATGACTCAACAATTATTTCAACAAGGCAAATAAAAATAAGACTTTTTCAAATCAAGATCTTTGACGCCCTTGCCTTTTCTCAGGTTTTATGCACTGAATTTTGCATGATGTCTGTGTCTCTCTGAGTTTTCCATGAAGGCTCTAGTTTTCGTATATTTGCTTTTCTGAATTTTCTTTCAAAATCACAAGTTTAATAGGCATAGAAAATAGCTATGATTACATTAAAAAAACAACAACAAAAAGTTTCACATTACAGAATACATTAGAATCCCTCATACTTTTTTTTTGTTACTGACCATGCCCCAGTCCCATAGGTGATGGTTATAAGGAATTCTACTGAAAATCAATATTCTTATCAAGCAATCATTATTGCAAATCATTTTTAAGCAACCATCTATTGCAAAAAATAAAACATTGTGAAACGTATTCCTTTAAAAGAGTTTTCAGTAAGATATTTACCAAATGAAAATATGAAAGATTTGAATGCAGGTCAGTTTTATTACTTATATTTCTGGAGCAAAATAATTGAGTCAAAACAAACAAGAAAGAGCAGTGATAGTATCTTAGGAATATAATCTTACAAATTGACAAGCCCAGCAATCATGATGATGTGTCTTGATTCATTTGTAGAGACAAAAGGTAATTTGTCCTTTTATCGAATTATTTATTTCTAAGTTATCAATTGAAACAATTACCAATAGTAAAGCAAAACTGAAACTTTAATTTTTTAAATATATTGCACATGATGTGGTTTTCTTTTTTACAAGATAGTCCTAACTTCATACTTCATGTTTTGAGAAGAGTTTTATCATGTAAACAAAAGAAGTCTGTTTTTCAGGCATTTTCAAGTACTTATAAAAATATTTTATCTTTTTTTATTGAATTTTTCACACAGCAAAAAGACTATTTCATTTTAACTCTTCTTTCTAATTTTATCCCCCAAAATTACTCGAGAATAGAAACAGAAAATCTTAGTCGCACACTTCAGAAATACTTCAAAAAAACTTTTATAGAGTTTTAGGACATATTTTTGATGTTCCTGCTTAATTGAAATTAGGGGATTGTGTGCAAATTAGATTTGGGAAATTTATTCAGCATTTTCACTATTATTACCTCTCTTTTTTCAAAAGAAAAAATAACAAGAAGATGGGAAAACTGTTTTAAAACTCAAATAAACATTTTGCTATTAATTAAAGAATCTCTGAAGTAACCCTGCATCTATATATCAAAATCCTGATTTACATGCTTCTCAGGTATCTCCCTCCAACAAACCGGGCTCCGCCCGGAAAAAGCTTATGGCGGGTCTCCCGGCATGTGTGGTAGTGTAGTGCATGTCAATGTGTGTGTGTGTGTGTGTGTGTAAGGAGTGAGGTAGTACAAGGAAGAGGAAGGTGAGATCGTGCAAGGAGTTTTAACGAATGTGGGCATATACTCAATGGCTTCAGTCATTATGTGCATTCACTAAAACTCCCAAAATCATTCGTCAAAAGGAAAGGTGTAATTTAGGTCTCAGGCAGAAAAAAGAATGTATTTTATCCGTAAAATGGAAGTAACTTTATATAAATCTATTACTGTAACAAGTAAAGATTCAGTGGATATGTGACATTATATGGGTGATTACATTCACAGCCTTCTTGGGACTAAAATACAGGTTAGCAATGGTTTAGATACTATGGAGTTAGTGAAGGTACAAAGAAGAATGAAAATCAACTAGCAAAAAAGAGGTAGACATCTCAGAGAGCAGATGAAAGTTTGACATCTTTAAGTATAAATGACAGATTGGAGGATGTAATATTGGAGAACTGAAGAAAGTTAAATGTCTTGGAGTATCGATGAGAGGTATATATCTTGTAGTATAAACGGAATGTGAAGGTGTTGAAAGGACTTTTGGTATTGTGTTTAGTGGATCATGGGTGGCAAAATTAATTTTTCAATTTGGCTCCAAGCTTCAAACAATTCAGTTTTGTTACTCTTTGAAGATATTTAAGAAGAAAAGATCATCCATTTCAGACTTGGTGCTTTGGAGATATGCGCAAGCAATATGCATATTGTGCGCATTGAAAGTTGGTGGTATGTTGGCAGCAAGCCATTATCATGTAGTTTCTTTAAACCAGTGCTCTGAGACACAGAGCAAAAAAGCAGAAAGCATGAATGACGAGAAATTCATAAGGAGAGCGTTTATTTTCGTCCAGACAGAGGTAACCATGACAATCACTTCAATACTCATTTATTCTTACAGCAAAGTAATAATCTTTGTCAATTGCGAGTTGCTTTTTTCAGAACTGTCTCGTCTGATGAGAACACAAATGCGATGCAAAACTTCTCGTTGCAGTTTCTGCTATTGCTCTCCCAATCATCTAAGCAATATTTCAAAGCCTCAACAGTGTTCTTTGGTTACAATTGTTGTGTAAAGTTTCTGTTGTTGTTTTTATGATTATTGTTGTAAATAAATATTTTGGAATTGGAAATGTTTAAATTTAATAAATCAGAAAGTTGTCATAATTCAATGATGTATGCCGTAGAATTATCAGGCCCTAAAAATAAAATAAATGGATATTTCTATTTTTCTCCCTATTCATTGAATGGAAAAATAACAATCATCACAATTATACCCCACTCCCCTCCATACCGTGCCTCTCACTGTAAATTAACCAAGGGAAGAGAGACGTGAGAAGGGAATAGGAAAGCAACATATTTATTTTGCACCAAACAACATGATTATTGATTAACAGCATTTATTATTGTACAGCGAAGTTAATGTAAAATTTCCATTAAATAGCAGTAACGCCATCTTAGCCAATTACTGTAAACTATTTTCATTAAGCCAACAATTACTATTGTCATCTATTAAAAGTAAATTACATTTCAAAACTGGGAAGAGAACAGTCATCACATCCACATGTGTAAAATTACACAAATTATTCTTACATTTGTACTTCATAAAACTATCCACATGATAGTTCTAGCCAAACATTTTAATGTACTATAATAATCACAGTGCACAATCCTCTTTTGAATCTATACTTATTAATTTTACTCTTTATTAAGTCTGTAACTGGCCTTGGATGACAGCATATTAAAACAATTAAAAACTTTAATAAGATTTGTTTAAAATCATTGTATTTTACCACACCCAGCACAAGATTACAAATCCTTCCTCATTCATTACGTATTGAAGGTTGTCAGACAGTCATCTGTTTCTAAATCACAGTACTACCAGTAGCTATTCCTCAAAGTGGTGTTTTCTTTTCTTTTTTTTTTTTAAGACATTATCGTATTGGAATGTTGAAATTTACATCCAATGCAATCCTCACACAAAATCCTCTCTCCAAGGCAGAAATCACTACATCTACAGCCAATGTAAAACACTTCTTCTATCATCAGACCTGAGTGCGCAACTGTAGTGTAGCTTGGCTAAAGGCTTTGCTATGGCAAGTGCCATTAGAAAGGTATCACCATCTTCAAAGCGCTTCTTATGCATTCACTGTGCACGAAGTACTTCAATTGCACTTTCCACTGCATCTAGCTTTACCTGCAGTTCTTCAACATCAGAGGATAGTTCCGCAGCTACCTCCACTTGTTGCTGCAACAGATAGAGAATTGTAAATGATACATAATCTGAAACCTAGCCTTTCAACTCTTTAAAAGAGTGTGTTTGAGAGAGAGAGAAATAAATAAATAGGAGCCCCCGTAGGCGCAGAGGTTGCACCAGTCTAGCACCACCCAAATATACATACGTCTTAATGCTGACACCAAAAGAAGAATAGAGAACGAAAATAGAGGTACTTACTCTAACTGCAGCAAGCACACTCTTCAAAGATAACCTGGCAGAACTCAGAAGGCGCTGGGGCTCTGGCTGCACTCGACAGCATGTGAGGTATGCTGGAACAGCAGACATTCGAAATTACTATTTGCCACATTCTCTTACTTAACTTTTCTTGCAATCAAGTCTTGATCAAAAGCTTTCAATTTGAAGAACCTAATAGAGTTTGATTGTAAAACTGGAGGTTTATTTTTTCCATTTTAACAAAATATGTTGTACATTTGTAAGCAAGTGGCTGGATTAACACCAAAAATGTTATTAACATATTTACCCAAATATAGGTTGAGGTTTCTTCCTATATATCTCATTCCAAAAATATGGGTTGTCTTATATTAGCAAATTAAGTCTATTGATTAGGATTTATGTTTAAATATTGTCATTCCATGCCTTAAATATTGATGAAATAATTTGAATTGTTATTAAAATAGTTAAAAGAATCAGTGTTTAAAATCTCTGGAGATCTCTTCAAACAAAATTAGGGGGTCTTATAATCAAAGTCAACTTATATTTGGGTAAATACGGTATTTCTGAAAGAATTAATATTTCTTTTCTTTCACACACACTATTTAAAACATTCAGGCAGTGATTATACTTCTCATGAATACAAATACAACTTAATATTTGGAACATTGCAAGTTGTTATCCACAAGATTTTTCAAAGATGCATAAAGATATTCTTTGTGTAAAAAAAACAATTATAATTTTGTCCAGCGTTGCAATAATGAAAACAGAAGAATTTTGTTTGAAACAAGAACTCACCATCTGCTAAGCGTGACGAAAGTGACAAAGTCTTCTGGCAGGTGTTGCGATCCCGAGCCCAGCCCTGCTTCTGAGTGGCAGCACGGTGTGCCCTCTGGAGGTACTGCGCTGTTCGCTCTAGTGTCTGCGGTGTCTGTTCTGGTAGTGAAGCAGTCAACTCTGCATATAGTTGCCACACTTCTGGATCTGTTGTTACCTTCAGAGAAACAGACATCATATAAAATGACACTGATTTCAAAATTGCTGCCATAAGGTTTTGTAACTTTTATAATCTATTTCTTATTTTGTAATGAACTTTACAAAAGTATATCAAGGTGGACATAGATACAACTATTAACTAGTAGTGATAAAACAGCAAATACTTTCTCACTTGTACTAGAATAGTTGAATTTTTTTTTTTCTTTCTTTTTTTTTTCTCCAGCTTTAAACAATGGCCTTATATGAAGTTGGATTAGAGTTGAAGATGAAAATTTTGTGCAAACCAGATATTGTAATGTAATTGAGTAAACTTTAATTTGTCTCAACTATGTAAATTATCATTTTGTCTGGGATGCAAAGTAGGTAGTTAAAAAAACTCTCAGCCATTCCTCAAAGCTCAACTATTATCATTCAGAGAGAATTCTTACTATATAATTCCAGTTTAACTTACTTGAATGTCTTTCTGATTCTGAAAGTGAGATTGTATTTGTTTAGCATTAATTGAATAGTGACTATTTCATTTAAGATTGTTAGTGATAGCAATTTTTGAAGTCTTTTTGGGATGAAACTGGTGACCGAATTGCATTTTTAATAACATACTGGGTGTTATGATTATTTTTTTGTTACTGTGGAACTACACATTTTGTAGCATTCAATATTGTATTCAATTTTGTTTAGGCTTATTTTGGTAATTGGAGGTTAAAAGATTACTGTAAATTTTAATACCAAACTCATAGTAGATTGTTGTCAGTTTCTTACCTATGTCAATCAAATATATTGTATATAACAATGGGCCGAATTTGGAGCCTTGAAAAACACCACTCTGTTCTGAATATAGATTTCAGAGAACTTTGCCAATTTGAAATCTTAAAAATTGTTTTGAAGAAATCCTGTGATCCAGATCAACAGCTTTCCTTGAATGCCAAACTGTTAGTACAATGGTTTTCTACATGAGATTGTATGAAAAGCTTGTTCATAATCAAGATAAATAACATCAATTGCCTGTTTTTTATTGAGCTCCTTTGTGGAATGGTTTAAATGTACCAGAAAATTTGTCAAAGTAGATCTGTCATCAAAGATAATTGTCAATCAAGAAATCTTGAATATTATTAATAATTATTTTTTTCTGCACGTTTAGTGATAATAGGCACATGCTATATTGATCAATAAATTAAAGGAAGTTTTATCTCCTTTTTTATATACTGGAGTTACATTTGCAATTTTCCGGTTATGAAGAACCTGTTTAAATGACAGAGACATTAGTTTTGTTAGAATGAAAACAATGTTTCATAACAGTCAGGCCCAAGGCTACAATCAGTGTACAAATTATCTCTAATCCAGATGGGAGCATTGAGGAGGCGTATATCCTGTCCTAAACCAATCCTCACCATCCCAACGACCCTCCCTGTCCCTCTATTGCCTTCACTACCCTCCCAGTCTCTTCTTGACAATGCCCAGCCTACATGTTCCTCTGCAGTACATCCTTGAAGACAAGTGTCATTCTTCAACACCTTGTGGAGTGATAAAAAAAAAAAAGAAAGAAAAAAAAGAAAAAGAAAAGAAGAAGAAAAAAAAGAAAAGGGTTCAACAAATGTTTTTCTCAATTCCATCAAGTAAAACACAATTCAAAAATCGAAGGGGTGAATCACGTATATTTCATCTGCTAATTAGCAGACTACCCCAGTGCTACAAATTATATAACAGTTAACAGTTAAAAAAATGCTAATTGCATACTAAAGTGGAGAACCAGCGAGTGAATGCCACGATTGGTATTCTAGATATTTTGCAAGTAGTTTGTGTATTTTATAAACAAGTGAATGCAGCACTTTGCTCACTACCAACAGATCGCTAAAATATCTAATTTGAAATGTTTTATTTCCTTTCCACCACATAAGACTATTCTCCTTTCTAGATAACTTTTAATACTACTCACCTGTGATGTGATTCTACCAAATAGTGCCAAAGCTTGAGGCCGCATCCGGCTAGCATTCTGACCTTCGCTGTCTTTCACTTCACTGGTAATTGCACGCACCAGAGTCTGGAGCACTGGTATATCAACATGGCGTCCTGATTGCAGATCCAGCAAACGATGGTAAGCACGCACCACCTCGTCAAAGGCACCCACATCTGCACTCACTGCAGCAACATTGTCCCACAGACGCCAGTTCTCAAAGTCTGCCTTCAGTGCTTCTTGGAGAGCATGCCAGGCACGGGCTTTCTGACCAGTCTTCACATACGCCTTTGCCAGGTTGTTCCATCCTTCCATGTTCTTTACAATCAAAAGATCACAAAATATAAAAATAATACATAATAATATATTATTTATTTATTTATTTATTTATTTATATTTATAGAGACAGCTACAGAAATGTTTTTGCCCGAATTTCTGCTATTCATATTTGTAAATATATAATAACAAATTCCACTTAAATGCAGGTTATATTCATTACAATATTCTATATATTATTATATTGCATTATATTAGCTATGAACACTTCTAAAAACAATTCGCAAACAAAATTTTTCTAAAAACGACTTAACACCATAAATGTAGAGAATTACTACTGAGGGTGTGTCAAACAGATTTACAGCAGCATATTAACAATTTTGTAGATTAAGCAACGAAGAAATTTGTTAGATGAATATGCAATCCATAACATGTTATTAAAAACTTGCCAGATAAAAAAACCTTATTCATAAGACCTACAGGAGTGCTGTTATTTAAATAAGTGATCTAATTTAATTTTCCATTAAGGCAATTACAAAACAAAGTTCAGTCTTGGTAAAGTTATAACAATTGAAATGTGAAATTTTGGTGTTCTATGCTTTTCATGAAGTATGAAGAAACAGGTGTCAACTGGATCTTCATGCCAGGTCTATTTCAGTTTTTCGAGTACCTTCGGGGAAAGTTTAAATGGTGGAAAATTGTTTAAGTTCATCTAATAAAGCACAAAATATAACATAAATCACTGGTGAGAACCAACATTATCTCAAAAATTCTAAATTCACAGGTAGCTTCCAGACAAATTTGCAACAATGGTCAAGATTCTTCTACATATGTTTTGTAAATTTTATCAAGAGGGCTGTGATATTCTAACAAATTTAGATAAGATTAGAATAGGTCAATAAAACAGATATAAAATTATTTTCTTGTATTATACTCTTACGATTATATAACTCTTAATAATCTTTACTTCCTAGCAAATTTTTGAGAAATCTACTCTCAAATCAATATTTTGGGATAATGCCTTATGAATCAAATTCACCAAAAGTTCATCATCATCACCATCATCATCAACACCGTCAGTTTAGGAGTGGTGCTCTTGTCCTGTTAGTGGGTAGTAAAGCTGTATTCCTTCATGTGGTGAAGTGTTCCTGCTAGTGTTATCTTCTTATCAGTCTGCCTCTATCCCTCTTCCAATTCGATCTATAATTTAATGCCATCCTTGGTTGATGTCGCTTGTCCATTCTTTTCATGTGTGTTTTCCATTTCCTTTGGTAATTTTTGATTTCTTCTGCTACGTTTCCTATTTTCAGTTCTTTCCTAATTGTTTCATTTTGAATTTTGTCTCTTCTTGTTACTCTTAGCCCTTAGAAACTTTATCTGTGCTATTTGTATGCTTTTGGTTTCCTTTATGATCATTATCCACATTTCCGAACCGTACATTAGCATTGGTTTTGATGTAATATTATGGATTCTCATCATTGTTTCATTGCTCTTACATCCCAAATGTCTCTTTATTATTCCATTGTTTCTATTATATTTTTGTATTTCTTCTTCTTTATCCTTCTGGTTCAATCCAACTGAATTTACGATATATTTAAAAGTGGTAACTTGTTCAATTATTGAATTTTCTATTACTATTTTGGCTCTAAAGTGTTCTTTGCCATAGAAGGTTAGTGTTTTAGTTTTCTGCTTTGATATTTTCATTTGATATTCTTTGCTTATTTGGCTTAACTCGAAAGCTTTTTTTGTAGAGTATGCTCGGAGCCTATTATTATAACTTGGTCACTTGCGAATAATATTTACCTAATTTTTGGTTGTTTGTTATCTTCATTCCTGCTTGAATCAAAAGTTCAAATAAAGTGAGTTGTAACAGATTATCAGCTCTTCATGGTTATCCCAACAAGTGCTTCAATACTAAAAATGCTAGCCATAAATACAAAAACTTACTCATTTTGTTTACTTGAAAAATTTCTTTAAATTTCAGGAAGTATCAAGAGTTCCAAGGGCCATTTGTAGCCAAGGGGTTTAGTTAAAGGTGGGATAGAAAAAAATTATGCTAATAACTGCAGGATACTACTATTCAATCAAATCTATCATTCTAAGGCAGAATGTCAAAAAAAAAAAAAAAATTTCTTATGACAAGCTTTTGGAAGTTTGTCAACTTCAAATATTTTTTTATAACAACATGGCAAGTTTATTAAAATGTTTCATAACTACCTCCGTCATCCCTTGTGGCAAGGCCTATGCAGAATTTCTTCATAAAACATAAATATGAATAACTTGGATCTACTGTGTTCTCCCTTCCACAGGATCACTGATACAATTCACATGTCTTTTACAATGACTTCATACTGGTGTTTGTTTTCATTACAGGACTTACCATGTGCTTTGCTTAGTTGAATGGAATCTTCTGTGAATGAAGGCAATTATTATGGAACAATATGAGAACACCTGCCTATTGACTTTAATAATAATCTTACCTTAGCATGTAAACAATGCATGCATGGTATTAGGTTAAAACATGGCATACGTAACATAATATTCTTGAATATTATATATTGCATTACAAACGAAAATTGTTTTTGGTATCAGGATTTTTCCTTTGAGTTTAATTTCATGTAGAGAAACATCCGATTCATGCTTTCACCCCGAAATCTTATTATATGAAAATTATATTTGAATCAAAAGTGAAGTTTAGAAAAGAATGAATCAATTTGCAGATTCAGATTTCCGTTACCTCTGGGTCCAGCTCCACACACCGCCGGTATGCTTTGGCACATAGCTGCCAGTTCTCAGTGTCCAGAGCGGCATAGCCCAATCTTCTCCAGAGCTCTGGCTGCAAGCTGTTGCACTGCAAGGACAGCTCCAAGTGTGGGATGCTTTCCTCATACTGCTCAACACACAAACACAAGTGTTCTTGTGACTTAAGGATTGGTTTTATATGCTCTAATAATTCAATAAATATGTAAAAATATGTTAACTAGTTGTTTCAACAAAACTGCAATACCCAACTGCAGGGACACCAAGTCAAATGGCTCTCCAGGGAAAATCTTATTAAACATTTATCATTCCACAGAAGTGTTGACCTATGAAATTCTTTTTGCCCCTTGCTAACAGAACTTGTTAATTCAAACTCATTCAAGAGAAGCTTAGACACTCTAATTAATACACAATATTCAGATTATATATTTTATTTCTGATTTCCAAAACATTAGCTTATTGATTTATTTATTGATTAATTTAATTCACAGGCAGAATTACACTAATTATGTCTGAATTGGCATAAATAATATATACTAAATATGAGTACAATACTAAATATTAGTAGTATAAAATAGTAGTATTAATGTCAAAATAAAAAAAAGACAGTGAAATAATAAATATCAGTAGCAAAAAACACCATGTCCATCATTATAATTATCCTCTGCCCATGTCATTAAAGCTAGGTAGGCCCATCCTGAGTTACTTGGTTGCTTGGCATCCACCATGTTCATGGAGTGTGTTTATGAAGGCATCGTATCTTTGCTTCAAATCCTCAGTCACTCTTGATTCTATAAACAACTCTGGCAGATTATTCCAGAAATCAACAATTGATTATAAATTTCTTGCACTGCAGCTCTTTGAATTTTGTCTTGCTAAGTTGGGCCTCCTGAGTCGTGTATTGTTGCATTATTTCATAAAAATAGAAAATGTACTTTATCCAATAATAAATTCTATAAATTAGATTGAAAGGAAACCTGCGATTCTGTGACATGTGCAACATCACATCTAACAGACATATTGACATCTATGACACAGTCATTACTGTAATTATTACTGTTGTTAAATTATGTTTATTATTGGATAAGTTTCTAATATTGTACTAACAATATTTGTATGTGCAACTTGAGCTTCTACATAATGATCATTAGACATTATCAGATTATCTGCCGACCAGTTGAACTGCGAGTGGATGAATATATTGTTATTAAGTATGTATTTAAAATGTTTATTTTTAAATTAATTATTAACTTATAATATATTATCATGAACTTGGCCAACTATACCTAATTTTTACCATCCCACCATCAAAAAGAGCAAAGAAAAAGGAAGAAGTGCAAAGAAAAATAAAATGAAGTGAGAAAGCACACAGAAGCAATTACCTCTTTCCGCCTGAAGTGATGCATGGCCCAGTGACGTTGAGCACGAGCAGAGCGCTGACCAGACAGCTCCCAGGCACGTTCATATTGCGAGATGTCATCTGTAGCATCGCCCAGAAGGCACAGCAAAGGCACCGTCTCTTGCACAGCCAGCTCTCGCTTCAGCAGCTCAGCGGCCTGTCACATATTAATATGTATTTACCTGAATATAAGTTGATCCCACAAATTTGATGAGGCCATTTCAGAGTTTTAAAAATGTTTAACTAATTCTCACTATTTAGTGAAAATAAAATTGAAACTTGTCTTATTGCCTAGAAATTTCCTTGTTGAAGAAAAAGTTAAGCCTTATTGCTGAACAATCATTTTCTTGTTCCTTAAAATCATCATAATCATGGTTTTCGTCACTATTCTCATCTTGACATGTTTCAATGTTTCTTTCTTTTTGGTCCTCCTTCCACGCAGTGTATATAATTACATATTGTATATACGTATGATATTTTAACCTTCATGGAAAAATCACTGCGCCAAGTTTCCTGAACATATTCCAACAATACTTTTTCTATTGCTGGATATTCGCATTTCTTGCCACAAAATGCACATTTGTTACGATTGGCATTTTCCACCACAGAACCACCATATCACATTCTTCTCACCAACAGATTCCAATACAGTTCAGCTAACTTCCCTAAGCCAAGTTTAAACTCTGCACTGTAGCATGCATGCAATCCCCCCCGTTTGATAGTTGAACTTCTGAAACATGCAAACTGATTTAGCTACACTTTCCAAAATCATGACAGAAACTCTGAGCATTGGTGAAAGCACGCTTTCATAGTGTTGGAAGTAACAAAGTGTTGCTTTCTGGCGGATGAGAAGAAACTACTAATCAAATCTGGCATGGCACCCCATTTTGCATTAAGAATTTACCTTTTTTAAAAATAAATACACATTTTTATTATAACATTTTCTGAGCACCATCGAATTGTTCAGTGCGGTTTATACACAAGACTTTTTTCTTCAAATTGTTGTGTCAAAGATCATTTGTGAGGCTGTACAAGGCCTACACATGTAGAAATACAGTATAGTAATTTATTAGGCTTTTTGTGAAGGTACAGTGAAATAAACAGGAAGCAGTTTTCAGCTCCCTTTGAAGTTTCCCTCCTCAAGATTTACTGAAAACAATTTCTTTCAATATTATCTCTCTATTGTGGTCCCTGGCTTTTTAGTGCCAGTCACTGAATAAAATAATATTCAGGTTTGATGGAAGCACTCGAAATTCAACCCAAAATATATTGTTGGCAATTCATACACGAATCACTGTATTTCGAAGGCACTTTTTGTCCTCATTATGAGGTATAGACCTCCACAATTTTTTGATAGTTTAAGCTGCTCATGGTGCACTCTACTGATGAAGCTTCCAGGTACGTCGACAGAGGCATATCTAGGTATTCAGGTGCCCATGACAAGCATAAATTTGGCGCCCCTCTCAGGACACTTCAAATTAGGGTTGTTGTTATTTGCTTTAGTGGGTATACTTTAAATAGCGCGCTCTCGTGAGAGGCACCCAAGGCACGTGACATGTTGGCCATACCGCCTCTCATTGTCGACCTTGTGTGTGGCATATTTATTATAGTTGATTTTGACTGTCAAAGAGTTTTAATATTATCTGTAATGGTCCAGTTTCTTTTTGTGACAGACATCATGAATTTTCTTCTTGTTTAATAGAATGCCATGGATTGATTGATTGCTAGTAATTCCATGCATGTCAACTGCTAAGGTCATTAGTCCCATAAGAGTAATGCAGGTTTTCCTCTTGATCTTCTCCCGCTGGTGGCGAGATCTAGCACTTACCTACCTATCTGCCACCAGTGGGGCACTGCCCTACACTGGACAAACTCTAAGCTCACTGGAGTTTGACTCCAGGAGCTAGGACTCCTGGCTTGTGTGGTAGAGTAGTGCATTTTAATGTAACTGTGTGAATGTAAGGGAGCAAGGATAGGACAAAGAAGAGGAAGGAATGATCACGCTAGTTCTGTGGCCCATTTGTTATGGTACTGCTCTGGCATTCACTGGTGTTTATAAGAAGTACCATGGAAAATTACAGATCACAACAACCAGTTGCCAGAATTCTCTCCTGAACAGCAACTGAATTCAACCTAGCTAGCTAATGTCAAAAATTCTGCCCCCATCCAGACTTGAACTTAGGAACTTCAGGTCCGAGGCACTGCAGTGACATCAGTTGATCTCCTAAGCCAACTCTCCCAGTAAGGCTACGGAAATTCAATATAAAATTTGTCAGCAATATATACACAAATTGAGGGCACTTTTCTCCTCATCAACAGGTGTACATATCAACTAGTTTGAGCAGCACAATGGTGAAGACTGCTGATAAAGCTCACAAGTTTCTGAGCATTGTAGACCTTGTGTGTGGGTGACTTGCAACTTCAACTGGAATGTAGTGAAACTTTAACAATGGAGCAAGAAAATTTCTGAATTGAATTTGAAAGTGCATAGGAGAGCCACAGCCAAGACAGCCCAAATTGCAACGCACCTGATGCCGTAGATCCAGCAAGGTGTAACACGTGACAGCTGCCTCCCACTGGCGCAGATGCAGGAAGATGTCGAGCGCACTCTGAACGCAACCCAACTGCACCAGGGCATGAGCCAGATCGCACTGGACGTCAGCCAGCAGGGGCAGTGGTGTGGCCAAGAGACCCCGGAGTCGGGCCCTCACTCCAGGCATGGGACCTTTCAGTGCGTTTACTACCTCCTGCAATGAGCAAAATATCAACTAATACATACAACTGCACTGCATATCTGCATTCATTTCTTATTAAGTAAACTAACTGAAGTAATCAAACATCACCTGCGTATCTACTTATATTTCACTATGTTTGCCTGACATCTAGAAACAATGCTGCCACCCAGTAATATTAAATTCCATAAGGTGATTGTACTTGCATTGCGGTTTCCAGTATCAAAAATTTTACGTGAAACCAAGTTTGGGGGAAGCAAATCCTTTTATCTTTTTTCTTGGTTGCTCAAGAGTCTGAGTAAAACTTGGGAGAAATCACTCCAGTAATTCATGCAAACATACATTTTTATGTGTTAAGATTGTTTAACTTATTATTTATCTTCATTGGCAATCGAACTCTGTTCTCCTGGTTTACACACAGTTGTTCTTATCATTAAACTATCAATATGAGCAATTCTTCAAAACAGTTTCTTGTGCCTGTGGCTCTCCCAAAGGGTACTTAGACATCCACCTACTTATGGGCATGTAAATATAATGGAAATGTATCTTATTTATGAAACATTTATTGGACACAACAAAAATTTCTGCTTTATTCACATATTTATGGATGACAAGATAATGACTAAATATCAAATTTTTTTATGCTTGACAGAGAAAGCAGATTAGTAAAGCACTGCCTCTCTTTTGCATGAGTTTAGTTAACTTATTTAAGCATCAATTACTAATTACTACTTCATCAACATTATTATTTTGAGGTACATTTTTTTTCAGAATTGCTGGCACAAGACCATCTTCCCGACCCTTTTATTAATCATAATTATACTGTAATTACAAAATATGTTAAAATACTAAGTTTAAAATCCAAATATTGCGCCATCGACCTACTATTACTAAAGGATATCTATAATAACGGCATTGACTGTTCTACTTTGTTAAATACACAACATTAATATGTTCCACCGCGTCACTAGAATACATACTACTTTTGAATTTAATGCCTTAAATACAACCTATCTTTAGAATTCCACATAAAAACATACGTACACCTCACAACTGTGATATAAATTGTTGTTATGATCTTATATCTACCCATTAACTAACAAACTAACAAAGTATATGTTTAGAAAAGAAACTTTATTTATATTAAGAACAAAATTCAAATTAGTTGAGCTTATCTATTGTTTGTAAATCTCATTTGTAACGAAGGTATGAATACATTAATTGAAGTAGTTAAATACATTACATTGATAACTCATTGACTTAAAGAAGTACTTGACTGTACCTCTAGCTGGCTCATCGCTCTCTCTGCAGTTCTTCTCTGCTTGCTCTCTAGTCGACTGCGCAGCACCAGAGCTGCTGCCTGCACGCTCCACAGCTGCGGCTCTGATAGTACCACCTGCACACCATCAAAGTGCTTTCAGGCAGAGATCTCATTAGAGATTTTTTTAAAAACCACATGAAGCACTACATTGCATTTCAAGCCTTTCTGTATTTGCAGTTTCTGATGTTATGTTAGAGATACACCATAAAACACTGCTCTACCAGAATTATTTATGAAATGATGCAACTTGTATTGTTCACAAAACAATATGCGAGATAGAATTTGTTCCCAACTGTGGCAGCAGAATACCCTGCTCACAATTCACATCATGTTGGCGGGCAATTGTAGTTGAACAAATTTTAATCAAGAGGATTGATCTTGGGAATTGAGTGTTAACAGCACATATTACCATCACAGATCAGAGTCCTCACCTCCTTTATCTTAGAATGAATGTGTGCTCAACACTTTTAATAAGTCACCCCAAAGTTGCCTATACAGTACATCATATCATTTTAAAATATCCTTTGTTAAAACTCCCCCCAGAAGGAACATGTACTTGGGATATGTCACTCGTCCACTTGCAGGTGCAAAAGATAGCCAGCAAATCCAATTGTGAACGCTGATGTGGTTTGACTCTTCCCAGACAATGAATACTTATTGGCCTCATCCCAAATGTATCGGCAATACCCAATACCCAGTTCAGTCCCATGAGCCATACTTTTTCATCAAATGAAAAACCAATATATCCTTCCCTGCTGATAATCAGTATTTTCTCTATCCTCACTGTACATTCCAGAAATACTGGTCTCTCATATGGTCACAATAATATTTATTGAAGAATACAAGATTTTCCATAAATCAGAAATTATCTAAATAAAAATTCAGTGAAATACACTAGTAAGCAAATATTTCACTCTAGTGAGAAAGTTTTTATTAATTATACTGAAAACATGTTTAGTTCAAGATAAAAATTCACTTAATTCAGATGAAGATTTTTATATTATCACTAGCAGAACCCGGCAGACATTTCTCTGTTTCTAATTAGCATGTGTGTGTGTGTTGACAGAAGTGTCTGGAAGTTTGAATAAACACATACATTTTTGAAAAATAAATGTTTGTTATATCATGATCCAAGAAGAACTTGATCTGGGACCAAGTTTACAGGGAAGAAAGATAATTTTCCAAATCAACCACACAGTCTAGATCGTTCTGAACACTTTCCAGACCCATATCCTATCTTGTGAGAGAGAAGAAGGCTAAAAGAATTCAGATTTTCAAATTATGATATTGTCAGTGAGTAAACAATAACCTGTAACTGACATGTGCCGCACATAGGTCACTACTTTTCAGTTTGTTGCCATTCCAGACACAGTGGGAACCATTTGATAGCACCGGAAATGTGACTGAATAAAAGAAAATTGTAATATGTACATTTCCCATGCTATCATATGATACCCTGGCCTGACAATGATGTCAGGAACACCCAAACCATCAGTTACACAGTATTGTTTCATTACCAACAATCTTTTGTGGGCTTTTGACCTTCTGTTTGCTTTGTTTTCATGAGGCCACATACCTGAAGATAAGGAAGCAACTCCTCATGGGCCAATTCATCATGCGGCTGTGACCTCTGCACTAAGATGAATGTGTTTAACACCACAGCCTGCTGCACAGGTGACAGTGGCGGTAGGGTGGGCGCACCGTCACCAGTGAACTGCACTTTCTCCAGGCGCACATCATCGTCCAGGCGCAAGTCCTGCGCACGTGAAACAACATTGGCTGTGCAATTTATTCATTGATGATTTACCCCAAAGGCCTAATTGTTCTAACAAAAAAGGAAATATATGGTGGGGGGATGGTGGTGAATATTAACAAAAATTCATCTTTTGAGGAGTGGTGCTTTGCCACTGCCCTCTATTACATAATATCCAAGGAGTTGAAATTGACAATTGAGTGACCTTTCGATCTTTTCATGGCCATAACAGATACTAAGCCAATAGGGTACGCAAAATGTTCCCACATGCTTAATGTCCCATTATAATGATCCCATTAATCCACATGCTTAATGTCCATTTTTTATTATTTCCCTCCAATTTTTTAATGTGTACTTTCTTTGTTTTATTCTTTTTTGTTTTCCTATACACTAATTTACTTGCATTTTCCACAATTTCCCTGCTTTTCCAAATATTTCACACTTCTTACCTTAGGCAAAGAATCACTGATGAGGAGAGGTGTTTGTGGGGAACTATCATCCACTTCCACCTTTAGCGTCAGTTGCGCTAGATCCTTCTGTTGGAAGCGTGTTCTCTTGCCCAGGGCACCTGCAAGGTAGCAGTAATTTGTGAAAATGCACAAATTGTGGCAACTATTCAAAAGTCAGATCTTTTGAATCACCATATCAAATACTGAGCCTTTAGAGTCACAAATTAACAAACCATTTGGTCAAAAACTCATACTTAAACACCAAATCTGATTTCACAAAACTGTACACAAAATGAAGTAACCTAACATATTTTACAAGTAAACTGAAACAGTAACTGAAAGGGGCAAATACAAGAATAATGGTAAGGATGTACATGTGGCTAAATCTCTTTGGCCTTTTCTTCTATATTTCAGATATGAAGAAAACAGACTCTTGAAAAATGTCATCAAAAATAATATTGTGTCGTGGAAGAGAAGATATTTTTAAATTAAATATCAGAGGTTTTATCCATACTTAGTAAATGGGTGTGTAATTGCATCAATTTTAGAAGTTTTGTCCTGAAATTGAGTTTATGCGGATGATGAAAGAATCTGATTAAAACGGGAGCCCTGGGAGTATTTTGTATCAAATTAAAGAAATTCACCATATTAAATAAGACTATCACAAAAAACCAACCGAAATGAGTCCCTGTTTGATTAACATCTTGTCTATTTGTGCTTTTTAGGACACAAGCCTACTTATCCAGCTGAACAAGGAGAGATCATGAAGAGTGCACCTAGAGGAGGGGGGGGGGCTCATGGGAGCTTTAGCTCCCTCTCACAGAAGCCAAAACACATATTAAAAAATAAATCTTTACTAATTTTCTGAACTAAGAAAAGTCATTCAATAAATCAATTATTGATAACTTTACAAATATTAACTAAAAGAGAAGAAATAAAAGTATACTTCATATTCAGTATAAGTGAAAAATCTTTCATAAGACAATAAGTCGGCTGGATTTCTGTAGCCCCCTGCAGAGAAAAATCATGGGTACACTTCTGAAGACTATCTCCCGTTCCTGATTTTTATTTGTCCACATGTAATATACTACTTTCGTTTTGAGTAAGTACTGACCAAAAAGACATTTCGATCCTACAAATAAATCTGCATTAGTGTGCAGGATCGGAATATCATTACCAGAGAAAAACGATTATGATTGGAACCTTCCGACCTAAGGCGCAACGTTAGGCAACCGCCACCGCTCCACACACATAGGGCAAGCGGGTTGCCTACCCACTCGTGGCCCAGGGGCTATGGTGTCTTCGGAAGTGAACACTAGGTTCGTCAATTTTTCCTTGTATTTGAATTCGTATTGCATTACCACCTACGTCGGAGGTACATTGTGTTGGAATCGGTAGCCTAGAGCTGTTGTTTTCTCATGTCACCACATATCCATCATCCCTCTTAACTTTCCATTTTTAAAACGAAAGTCGATCAAACCATTTTTTTTAACTGATATTTTATAGTATTAATAGGAATAGCCGACACAATAATTTTTAAAATTAAATATTTTAACATATAATTAAGGAGTTTTTAAGTAATGCTAATTATAAAAGCCTCAGAATATTTGTTCAAATTCAGGTACAGCAAAACCTGCTTAACCCGGTCAGTACTGGATCAGACAAAAATTGGTTGAGAACTTCTGAAAGCGTAAATAAAATCTAATTGTGCTAATTGTGTTACGAAAGTGTTATCTTTAATTTTTTGTTTACCACAAACAACAAAATACGATTTAAATAAGGTATTGAGGATCTTTTTGGTCCCTCTCGGTTCATATCAAACCTTGTCACTCAATTCTTATTCGAGAAACATTCGACTTCACCAAATCAAACAAGCAACCTAGACTTGAAGATGCATCACATACTATAGAAACTTTAATGCAAGGCCATCGGATGATTACCGCATGTGGCACGCTTCACGAGTCCATAACAGATTCCCATAGAAATGAAGTACGAGTTAGAGAACCATGAGAAAGCTGTGAAATGGTTGAAGCAAATGATTTTTTTCATTAAGAAATATTTATTAAAATCGTATGTTGTTATGTGAAACAAACTAATCCCCCTGCGAGTTAAAGGACTGTAAATGTCACTGTTGGAAGTAATTTGACATGTTCCGCCTAAGAAAGATATTAAATCAACAGTTATCTTCACCACTTTTCTGATTTCCTATAGCTCAAAATTGCTTTGAATGACCGGTTAATAAAGATTAGTCTAGAAAATATTCTTGGACAGTGTTTGCTTAGTCAGATGGCTGCAGAAGAGGGAATGTTTACACATATCTCACGGAAAAATCAATCGACTCCACATAAAAATGCCATTAAATGAGGTCAAGTGCAAACGTAAAAATTGAGGAATTGTTAGAAATAAATATTTTTAAATATGCGAGAGTATTAGTTTTCATAATAATAAAGATTGGTTTCTGAATTTGATAAAAAGTAGAGAAAAAAAAGAAGAGGAGAGGATGCAGAGACAAGATGCGAGGAGAGGAGAGGAGAAGAAATGAGAAAAAAAGGAGAGGAGATAAGATAATAGATGACAAGAGAGAAGAAAGGAGAGGAAGGAGAGAGAACAGAGGATAGGAGGAAGAGACAAGACGGGAGGAGAGGAGAGGAGAGGAGAAGAGATGAGATGAGAAGAAAAAGGAGAGGAGATAAGATAATAGATGACAGGAGAGAAGAAAGGAGAAAGGAGAGAGAGGAGGGAGATACAAGACGGGAGGTGATGAGAAGAAAACGGAGAGGAGATAAGATAATAGCTGACAGGAGAGAAGAAAGGAGGAAGGAGGGAGAGGGAGAGAGGAGGAGATGAGAGAGGAGACAAGCGAAGAGCAGGCTCACCGACGAGCGCGAGGCCGGCGAGGCCCGCGGCGCGCGCGGCGGCGTC